AAGTTCTCAAGCACAATCTCAGGACATGGGCAAAATATAGACAAAATTTATGCAACAGTATAACACACATGGCCTCTAGTCCAACTGCCAATGTTGTCCTTTTCCTATCTGAAGCCTTCTGAGAGTGGCCTTTTCTTTCCACATTTCTATCAGTCTTCTGCTCTCTGAGGTCCAACCAGAATTACCCATCAGGCTCTGTTTATGGCATTCTAGGACTTACCTAGTCCACATCTCCAAACCTTTCTAAACTCCTTCTGCAAACTAACTCTAAAGGTTTCTAATCCACATGGTCAGATACAGTCACAGCAATGACCCCACTTCTCTGGTACCAATTTTCTGTATTAGTTATTTTTCTATCACTAGGACAAAGTACCTAATAGCCAACATTTAAAGGAGGACAGGCTCCATTTGGCTAATGATTGGGGGAGGGGGTCAGGTCATGGTCAGCTGGCTCCAATGAAGGAACATCATATTAAAAGGGCATGGTAAATTCAATCCCCAGTACCAAAAAAAAGGGGGGCATGGTAGAGCAAAGCTGCTTATGGTGGCAGGGAATAACATCATGGTGGCTGGGAAGCAAAGCAGGGTAAAAGTACCAGAGAAGAATGGACTAGGGAACATAATACAGTATTCAAAGTTATACCACCATGTCCTACCCAGACACACCCAGGAACATGCTTTATTATTCCACTGGGCATTTCTTAACCCAATTAAATTGACAAATCAGGATTAAGAGTCACCCTCCATACTTTTTTTTTTTAATGAAGTCTCACTTTGTAGCCCAGGTTGCCCTCAAACTCCTTCTGCCTCATCTCCCATGTACTTGTAATTCCAGGCATGTACCACTGTATCCAGCTCACTCTCTTAATTTTTGACAATCATGAATAGATAAGTGAGATTCCTGTGGTTGGGAAGAGAGCTTCAAAGAGAGGCTTCTTAATTTTACTGGGATCTTTGCTTGTGATTTAAAGATTTCTAAAAATATTTCTATTGTCCTCAGGGATAATCTCCTTTTGCCTCCAAGAAAAAAATTCAATCCACTATGGCAAATATTGGGCTTGAACTTTTTTCCTTCCTTTTTTTTAATATGCTGAGGATTGAACCTAAGGGCCTTTAAGTGCTAAGCACTGAGCTTGACATCCTCAGGGCAGGGCTTGAGTTTTCAATACTAGTTTTTAGTTTGACAAAGGCTAGTGGATTAAAAAAGAAAACATTTGACCAGCTACTGAAGCAACACATGAAATGAATTTTTAGACTTTCCTAGTCATTTTACCAAATTTCAACATTACTATAAACACTGGCTCCAAAATATCTGTATATAATAATCCTAGGTGGTAGGCTTGGATTAAGCCATTAGGACTAACAACAAGGTAGACTTCCAAATACAGTTAATCATACTGTTAACTATAGACTATGGAAATCTACACTTCAACTAATAGTGCACTGGGAAGCTTACTTTTACCAAATTTATTTAACAACAATGATCTCCAAACCTAGTGCCCAGGCCTTTGTGACTAGGTCTAGGTAAAACTCTTACAGTGGAGAAGTCTTAAATTTTCTATTTTACATTGATTGGTTCACATAAATAAAAAATCCACAGACTGATAAGGCTGTTTCAGGTGAGGCTTAGTCCCACAACTCAGTATGTCATCAAGGACCCCAATTATTTCCTTTTCTCTGTTGTGCCTATTTTGGTCTCTGTATCATTCTAAGAGTAGCTTTACTCATGGTCCCAAGATGGCTACCAACATCTTCCTCTTACTCAGTAAGAAAGAAAACATCAATATTCTCTGCAAAAATATCAAGAGCCATTCTGTTGAATTACCTTCAGGTCAATACCCACTCTGATGCAACCATTAAATCCAAACAGATCCAACATAATGATTGGATAGACTAAGTTACTTTTCATTCCCAAAGGTTGAGTGAGCTTTTCTCAAAGCATATGGATCCCAGTGGAAAAGGTGCTGTTGGGAAGGAGAGTAGTTTGAAAGAAACTAAATATTTTTAAAGAAGTTTGACATCATATTAGAGATATTCAAATAACACAGGTTACTCTTTTACCCTTCTCTTCTTTATTCAATTTTGATTATACCTCACGAATAGCCTAGAATTTTCACTTTCCCAAGAAAGATCATCTTCAAAATTTCACTAGGGGAAAAAAAAATCTCACAGGGAATATCCAATAGGGATGAGAAATGATGATATAGGTCTATATTTATAGAAAAAATTAGTATTATTAAATGAAAAAGGTTATTAAAAATCATCTGTATAGTATAATGTGTATTATATAATCTTATTTTTCTTAATATATATGGTCATAGAAAAAATGATACAGCACTTATAATATTAACAGAAGTTATCCATTGGGATGATTTCTTCCCTGTCCATTCCTTATTGAATTATCTAAATATTTTTAAATTGTTATTATTTTCACAATCAAAACTATTTCATTTTGGAAATAGCAAAATTCACCAGAATCTATATGTATATCACAATCTCAACATATACCCTAGATGACTCTTCACTATGTCAAAATACTTGGCTTATTCCTCCTATCAATCTTGATCAGATAGAGTTGAGGGACACGGGAGTCTCAGTATGCCTGCAGGATATAGGTCCAATTATTTGTAACTGGAAGTTAAGATTAATTCATATTTATTTCCTCCACTTGTGTGGATAACTTTTCTTCAATTAATAGTATAGTAGGGGTCAGTATCTCATAGAATGATTAGTAGATATGATAGTAGATCAAATGATTTCTTACAGCACTAATCAATAATTGCTTATCTAAACATGTCTTCCATCTCTGAATACACTTAGTTCTAGAGTTCTCTCCACTAGCTGCTCTTCACAGAAACTCATTCAGATGTCTCTTCAAATCAACATCTTTAGCTTTGGTCTCTCTTGAGCCTCTTTAATCTAGATGTCTATCAGAAATCTCTAGTGCATGTTCTGATGCCTTCATGAGCAGTTAGCTCACAGGACAGTGAGGTCTTTTATTTTCCTGTGACTAGCTGGTGGTTCAAGACCAACTGCCAATCACCCAGGGCCTCAGATGAAGAGGATAACTTCTTCAAGAGAGGAGGCTACACTAGATAATCGCCCAGGATTTTAGCTTTTAGATCTAAAACTAAATTCAGTCTTCGTGAAACTACTTCCCTCTTTGAAATATTTCTTCCTTTCATCCTCAGATAATATAGTGATAGAAAATAATGGAATTTTAGATCTGGAAATGGTATTAGAAGCTCTCCAATTGCTTTTCTTTACTGCAGTGAGGAAACACATATAGATTGATTAACTCCTTCCTCTTTTTTGGCTTTACCAGTAATTGAATCTCATCAGTTCTTTTTTTGTAATATCTCTCCAACCTATTCCATTCTTTTCATTGCCATCATCCCGGAGGTCTACATTTCCTTAGGTCTTGTTCTTCCCAAAGTCACCATACTTTTTTTTTTTTTTTGGAGGTGAATCTCTGTATGGCTGGCCTTGAACTAGCTATGTAGCCCAGGCTGGCTTCTGACTCTAAATCCTCTTGCCTCAGCCTCCTAAGGGCTAGGATTCCAGGCATGCACTACCATGCCTGGCACCATACTGTTGCTCTTACCTTCAGTCTCTTTCAGTTATTCCTGGGAAAGCTTCCAGATCACACTTCCAAAAGTAGTGTGATCATTATGACATGGTCCTATGGGGAGGGGCAGAGTAATGGCTTTACAGTGATCAAAGGATAAGGTTCAAACTCTAAAACCAACCTCAGGAACTTCCTACAGTTTGACCCTAACTTACCTTTCTAGGTTTATCTTCCAGCAATTCACTAATAATCAAAGCTTAGTATTTACTCCATTAATCTTAATATTTCCTAAACAAACCTTTTTAGTTTTTTGATAACAGATATTCAGATTTTTTTTTTTTTTTTTTGTGTAGTTTTTAGGTAATGGGGAGGTAACTGACGGCATTTCAGACGTGCACCAGGTGGCGAAACCTCTAGGTTTATCTTCCAGCAATTCACTAATAATCAAAGCTTAGTATTTACTCCATTAATCTTAATATTTCCTAAACAAACCTTTTTAGTTTTTTG